TAATACTGTTCTGGCTTACATACAAATTTGACTTAAGACAGACCTTGGGAACAGGACTCATTCTTAAACTGGAGACTACCTACACCTGCCAGAGCCCCACATTTCACTTTTCCTTTGGGAAAACTTCTAAAACAAATTCTCTTCCATTTAACTGAATGAGAACTAGAATGGGAAAATATATAACCTAGATTCTACCATTTTGTATATTATTTGTTGATTACATTAGCAATGTTAAAAAACAAAAATGAAAAAAAACAAAACATAGATTCTACCCAGCATTAATACTGATATGATGGGGGGAGAGTTGGCTGTTACTTCCCTAATGACCCCCCAATTTAATTTCTCGCACTGACAACATCCTACCTTAAGCTTTTCACCTCAACTCGAGGGTCCTTCTCTATCCACTGCCAGCTGAGATCTCCTTGGTGTATCTGTGAAGTTTATACGGATGACTGTTCCCCAGGGTGTCTATGGGACGCAGGTGATTGCAAATAACCCTGTGGAAATCACACAAAATCCAATATGTATTGTTGATTCAATCCAGAAAATCAGTCCAATCCAGCAATATGGACCAGTTTGAAAAATCAATCCAATCTGAAAAGATCTCATTGAGATGCAGCACAATTATTCTAATCTGACACATCTCAGTCATGAATTTAGATTTTTAATAGAGAAGCAAAACAGCAAGAAAGAAATAAAAGTGATCCCTAACAAAATATGTGTATTCTAATTAATTATATAAAGACTTGGGGGGGGTTAATTATATGGTATCTATGTTTGAAATGGCAATGAGCGTTACCAAAGGTTTATGATAGATATTTGGGGGCAGAAATGCAGAAGGTAGTTATATCCTACAAACAATCCATAGGCAATTGCGACACAAGCAATTTAAAAAGGCTGCGGAGCTATTTGTCCTGTTTCACCTTAATGGATTTGTGCATATGGAAAGAAAAAAGATCAAAAGAAAAGTACCATAGTAAGAAAACCCAGAAGGGTGAGAAGTGGAAGATGAGACAGTCTGGACCAATTTTATGAATGACAGTGCAACTGCTAAGAACAAGCCTCATCTGAAATAACTCCATGATAGCAATGCACATCTTCCAATAGCATTACTGAGGAATCCACTGCAGAGATGCAGGTTGTCCAACTCAATGCTCTTCAGCAGATCAGATTATTCTATAGGATCAAACCTTTTGTATATATTCATCATTCAAGTTTTTCCAAATGTCCTGTTGCCACTAGCTTCTGAATATGTTCCTTCATGCTTGTTCAACATCTTCAGCAAGAGGATACTAGATCTTTTTGAGCTAATTGATCAATAGTAGGTCAAAATGATCACACCTGATCATTTTGAGCTAATGTTTTCTGTCTGGTTTCAGGTGCATGGGCAGGGTGAAAAAAAAGATTTATGTGAAGAAAAGAGCTGAAGATAGGCTCCATATGGTGAAAACTGCTAGTATAGTTTCAGTAACAGATCAATATGGGCCATATCAATATGCTTTGGATATTTCCCAGGAGAAAGAACATGGAATATGGGTCTTCAGAGAAGATTGTGGTTGGTGTAGGACCAAATACATGCCAAATGTATGTTACTGGTCTCTAGACATGCATTCCCTTGGGCCACTTTGAGATCATTCTTCATTCATTTCAGCTTTATCTAAAATGCGACCAGCAGATACATCTTTTGATATTATCATCAACCCAGCCTGCTGGGCCTACAGTGGGAGAAGGACTCAGTACTGCTGATTCTTTAGTTTGAAATGGTCCCCTATCATTGGCCGGTGGTAACTGACCAGAAAGATATCATTATCTGTAGGGCAGTCATAGTGGCAAGAGCAAGACTTGATGAACATCATTTTGCGGACAAACGAGTCTCCCTCTGGGCACCGAAATTCCACTTCCGCTGTGCTGGTGGTGTGTGGTGTACAACAGCGACTGTCCGTGCAGCTGCCGCAGAACTTGGGCCGATAGGAGCGGATGCTGGTGCAGCCAGCGAACTCAAAGTGGATCGCCTGACGAGATTTAGGGTTTCGCATACACCTCTTTCCTTTCTGAAAAGAAAAAAAAAATACAGCTGTGGGTAATTTGGGATGGATTCTAAGTTACCCCAGCCTTCTTCAACCTGGTGGTTTTCATACCATCAAAATTGTGGTATATGACTTTGCATCAGAAGGAGGATTGAGCTGAGATCCCAGGCAGTCCCAATTGTGAGGATTAGGGCTCTGATACCAGAGATGATCAGTGTCATCTATAGTCAGGTAAAAGCTGGGCTCTTTCAATTCAAGGGACAGTACTTTACAGTGATCAAGTGGAAAAACAATGTCTGTGAGAACCTGACCTTGTGTTTCTCCATCTGTTGATTTTAAGCTATATCTGTCTTTCTGGAAACATCAACTTTCTTGCCTTGACTACCATTTCTGTATTCAAACTTTGGACTGACCTGGGACTATCAGTTCCACTGTGAGCATCACCACTAATTTCAGCTTCAGATAACTAACAACTTCATTAAAACCTTCTGGCTATGTAACACATGTTGTCAAGATTGCAACTCAGTGGTGAAATTCTCCATGAATCTCAGAGGTTTCATTCATCTCTACTGTAGACTAAAACTGGAACCTTTCTCATGCAAAGCAGATGTTCTCCCATTATGGTGCTGGCAAATCTGTATATAGGTTGTATCATTTAAGACTTCAGGATTCAATGCTTGCTTATACAAATAAATCTGAGCACGTAGAAAATGAGGATGTCAAAGAGATTTAAATCTGATAGTTAGAATGCTAGACTAAGATAACATCCACTGTTATCTGGTTCAATGTTATCTGGTGTGGGTAGGCCTGTATATCTAATAGTCTTCAGTTGAAGGAAGGATAGACTAGCAAGACACCAGGTCAAATCTGTATTCTGCCAAGTACATTGGACGTCATGTCTTTGAGATCAGGAGCCCAGCAGGACTCTGACAAAGGCTCAAAGTGCAAATAATTCCATATTACCCTAACTTTAAAGGAAGTTCTCAGCACTGCCTTCTCTGCCTTCCTGCCTTCAGGATTTAGCCTTTCCTTCTTCTAAAAGCTCAAGGTCAATCTCTTCCATCATTTCCAGGGTTCTCAGGTTTCAGAAATTATCAGCAGTTCCATGTTCAAGAGTCAGCAATAAGCAAGGTCAGGACTAAGAGATCCCCTCTTTCTAACACAGTCATTTTAAGGTGTTAGTTGGACAAATGCTGGAACAACAGTTTTCACAGTGAGAGTTAATATAATCTGTGTTCCTTTGTGGAGCTCTCCAAGGTACTGAAAAATGCTTTATTTTACCAGAGACCAGAAGTGCCTTGCCTGTTCATTACGGCTACCTGTCCTTAGTTGGGATCCTTAAGCTACTCAACCAGTTCAGGACACTGAGTTACTCTCAACCAGACCCATTTTATGGGATTATTATGAGAATAACATCTACACGGTGAGAATGAAACATGCTATCTTGAACTCTTAAGAAGAAAAGAAGGACATAAATATGAAAAAACACATTTAAAACATATCAAGATATGCAGTTGCCTCCCCTTTGCTGGAGATAGTCAAGCAGGAGCTAGATAGAATTTGTCAAGGATGTTTTAATCTGGAAGGCTACAAAGATTTGACTGAGGGGCCCTGACAACCTCTTCCCAAGGATCTAATTAAAATAAATACAACAGGTGCAATTCAATCCAAGGTTGTTGCTACCCTCTCATTCCAAGAGATGAGTATGGCCTTGGTCGAACTGTGCACCAGATCCTAAAGGGAACTTCCCTCAAGTGCCCTCTGAAAATCACTGGGATCCATCAGGTTCCTGGGGTGACCAGTCAAGTGGGTTTTTCCTTCCTATGGTGGGGAGCAGGCATGGAAATATGATAAGGTCCTGGATGATGAGTGTCTTATTACAGGCTGATTAGGCTTTAAGCAGCAACAGCCTAAGCTAGGGCCACTGAGGATCTGACAACCAGGCAATGGGATTCAGCACAGAGGGTTGAAAGGCACAATTGGACCCAGACACCAAGTGTGTCTTCCTTGAGAGTGGCCCACCTCATCTTCTGCCATATGTCCCTCTGCCCATCACCACCAAGATGTCACTGCCTGTCCCTTCCCCATCAAACCAGTGCCCCCACACCCTGCCATCTCTCCCCCAGGCCAAAGGAAGCCATCCAACTCCCAGATATATGCCCCCCCCCATAATGCATACTCAGATATGTTTGCCACTTCAGTGGAAATTAGTTCAATTCAGCTGTCTAAGCTCAGGAGATTCGTGACGTAGATTCCCCAGCTTGCCTCAATTATTTGTGGTCCCCATTCCCTCTGCTCCCAGCCCCTTGCAGAAGTTGATATCCCACACTTGGACCCACTTCACTCAACTGCCCCAGTACCTTGATGCTCCTGTCAAGAGAGGCATTGCAGAATCGAACCACGCAAAGCCTGCTCTCCTTCTCCAGTTGGCACTGGGGGTTATCATTGGTAACACGGGTAGAGATGCCCATCCCACAGGTCTTAGAACAGACACTCCATTCAGTGGTCTGCACCAAGCAGTTCTCCTGAAGGTTATGGAGTGTGGACTTAAGCTTTAACTCAGGCTTGTGAGCAAGTCTGTTCCTGTAAACTGAGATGAGCAAAAGAACTTCCATGAGCAAATTCTAAAGATTAAAGTAAAAGAGATGTGTGTGTTTTTCCACACTGCTTGCCTTAGCCTCATTAATTTTTCACTTGGCCATGCTGTGGTAGCCCAAAACATCTGATAGGCACTAAGCTGAAAAAAGACTGGTTTAAAGACTTGACTTCCACTGAACTAAACCCATACCTTCTTAATCTCATCCTCTTGTGTCCTGCAATAATGCACCATATTGTGTTTTAAATACACCATATGGCCAAGGGGGAGAGCGCTAGAAATTAGTTATGCATATGGGTGATTGATCACTTACAGAGGATTTTTAAGGGATTGTCCAGCAAGAGACAATGACTAAAATATCCCTTTCTGAAAAGTCATTGAAATGGCTGGAGGCAATGTTGTTCTACTCAAAAATTGTTAATGTCCATAATTAGCCTCAGAGGCTCTCCTCTCTGTTCCACCAATTCATTAGATTAGGTCAGTGTTGTCCAAACTTGGCCACTTTAAGATGAGTGGACTTCAACTCCCAGAA